TGCCAATAGAAAGCACACACTCACAGCCCTAGAACTGCAAGGCCATGAATTCTGCCAACAACTTTAAGGAGGTTGAACAAAGCCATTTCTAGTTCCTAGAGAAACTTCCAGATGAAACTACCCCCAGAAAATACTTTTAATAGACTAAAGCCATACTGACATGTTGAACCATAGAAACAAAACTATGATAAATGTGTGTTATTTTAAGAAGATGAATTTATAATTATTGGACGTCCACATAAAACCTGAAACTTAGTTAGCTTTCTCTAACTGCTGTATTTGTAATAGCTTTTCTTTTTTTAGCCACACACCTAGCAGCCCTCTCTGTTTGTTTATTCACGTGGATTTTCACTATTATGTCATGGAACTAACACATTTATAGGTTTTGGTCTGTCTCTCTTAACTATGATGAAAATATCATAAGAAATGTAGCTTTTTGTTTCTTTGACACAACTGTATAAATCGCAATTGGAGTAGCAATGGACAAATATTGAGCACTCTGTTAAAGACAAATGAATGTCCATATTGTATCCAAGTCACCCAGTCCTGAAGAGTTAGACAACTTGACCGACATGTAGCCATATAAATACAGGCAGTAACTCACAGGGCATTGTCCAGGCAATCGTGATTGCAGTGATTGTTTGACCCCTTTAAATTATGCTGAAAAACTCTAAAAACTGCCTTCGCTTCAGTTTTATCATTTCCAAATATGAATGGTAGTGAAAGCCTTGTATACTATGATATTTTTCAGCTCAGAGTAGAATACAGAATATACTTAATACACTTTAAGGAGCAGGGTCAACTTTAAATAAAGAAATGAAGAGCATGCATATGTAGGGAAGAACTGTATCTGTATCAAATTAAAAATTTAAGGAAGCTATCAAGTGTACAGACTCTTATATAGATTGAAAAGAATAAAACATCTATCTATCTATCTATCTATCTATCTATCTATCTATCTATCTATCTATCTATACATCTGTCTATCTATTTGTCTGTCTGTCTATCTGGTACAGGGTCTCACTATGCAGCTTGGACTATGGCATGTGATCCTTGTGCTTGCCCGCAGATTAGACTGCTGAGCAATCTCTCCAGCCCATATACAAGTATTTTATTGTAACATTTAAACTTGTAGGAGCCAATGTTATGATTGAGCAGTTACATAGACAAAAGATGTTTATAAAAATGTGCATTTAAATTAGCTGTTTCTTATTTTGTGTGTGTGTGCGTGTGTGTGTGTGTGTGTGTGTGTGTGTGTTTTTATTTAGGGAAGGGTCTACAGGGTATTCAGGGTCTGACTACTAGATTGGACTTGTAGTGATCTGCCTGCTTACATCCTCTCAAGAGCTGGGATTACAGGTGTATACCACCACACCCGGTCTCAATTGCCTTCTCAGCATGCTCCGGGGGTGGGGCCGGCATGGCAGGCCCAGGAATCGAATGTTTGGCCCCTAGAGCCTGCTTTCAGGCACTTTAATCCAGTGAGCTATTTGGCTAGTCCCTAAATCAGGTGCTTCTTAAACAGTGTAGTTGACCTAAGGATTTAAGGACAAACTGATAAATAGTCTGACACAAAATAATAGATTTTTCTCTTGTTTTTGTCCAGAATGTATTCTTTTTCTCACCCCATCTTATGTTGGTTGCTGAGTAGCCAGCCTCTTAACTTCACCCACTAACCTACGACCAGGTTCATCTGACATTTCCGTCTTTACAGGCTTCTTGAGAATGTATCTGTAAACTGACCTGGATTTGTCCTGTGTTGATTTGTCCTCTATGGACTATGTTTGTGCAGAAACAGAGTAGGGTGTCTGAACACTGGATCTCTCTGCTTTGATATTTGCTAGTTGCATATGCTATTTCTCAATTCTTGTCAACAGTGATTTCCTGATAGTTTCTTTCACTGAGATTTTATTTTGAGTAATCCTCAGCACTGTTGATAAAACTTTATCCCTGATGTTTCCAGAAAACCATAAGTATTAGCTTATGTATCTATTTGTGTAAAAATTGTCACATTATTTTTAGAGTGCACTTTTGAAAGTACTCCTCAGAGAAAATATTAAATTTATGCTACAGAAAAATTACAGGAAGGAATATGAAAACTTGCAAATGCGGCCTTAACTCTCTCCAAAGTTTGTTCAGATCAATATACCTACGACCAATTACCACAATCCTAGTTGGACTGCTCAACCCTGATATCAAGAAGTCTAAACCTAAGAACAGTGTGAGCCCATTTGTGATTGAGATTACTAAGAATGCTGGGAAGTAGCTTGGGGTTTCATCTGGCCACCCCAAACAGCACTGAGATTATGGGCTTCAGATGTACATGGTTGTCACCATTGGCCTGGGTCAGCAGTCGGTCACACTGCAGAGGGCACAGCGGGCATCGGGTAACTGACTGACTCCTGGGCTTTCAGCTACTCTGTCGAGCGAAACCGACTAATTCCAATCATAATGTCTAATTTGAAAAAAAAAAAAAGAATTAGTAAACGTCCTGGCCATTAATATACTTGCTCCAAAAATGAAGCTTTGTTTTTCATTCAAAGCCTGGCCTTTGATCTTTTTAACAAAATCTAAACCCATTTTTTTACTTTATTTCACTTTATGTAACTTGGTTACTGTATCTGTATATGCAATAGAAGTTAATTTATATACTAAAATTTTTGTTAAAAATATTAAAGTTTGTCATTCTTGTGTGTTGCTTCCTGTATCCCAAAGTTATTAGTACCAAGTAATATCTGTGCCTGTTAAAATAAAACTGTGTAGACATAAATAATACCGTAATGAAATATTCTTTAATGATAAGCTCTTTAATTGCTATTGCAAGTTATTTGTTTTCCTTATTTCCCTTGGTGCCCTAATTCTGTGAAGTATTTATTTTAGAAAGCTTTATCTCTATTTCTTTTCACATGTTCCTTTAGCAAACTTCTTCTAGGACCCAAACTGTCTCTCTGGATTGATTATCTTGTTCTTGTACAGGCAAGCAAGGAGCACTTCTCAGTATAGGAAATACAGCAGACAAATTGGAGAGATAGGAGCCTTGGGATCTGGCTCGGTCATATCATTCATAATCCATCAGTTCTGCATGTGCACCACACTGCTCCTGTGTTGCACATGAGTATTGTTTAGCGTAGTTAGGTTCCTACTCCTACTTGCACACAATGATTCGTGTTCTGAAATGCGTTCCTCTACCCGATGCCTCACCTTGGTTCTTCAGGCTGATCCAAGCTTTGCTCAAGTTTCAGCCTAGCTCTCACTTCCTAGGAAGTCTTCCTTGGGTTTTGTTGGACATCCCTGCCCGTCCTTCTGTGGACCTGTGAGAATAACTCTGTTAGTCATACATTTTGCTAGATTTGTTCGCTCCCTATTTCTGCAAAATGCACACACACACACACAGACACAGACACACACACACATACACTCACAAATGCACACACACTCATTGCCCATATGTGTGTTCATAGACAAAAGTAATGACAATAAAACTACTTTTAAAAAAGTTCCCAACCACTTAATGGAGATATTATTGTTAATATCCATAACTGTCTTTGGGTCTTGCTATAACATCAAGGTTTTTTTTTTTTAAATACAATTGAACAGACCTCTTACTAAAATTGAGAAGTAAAAATTTCTTGACATATTGCACTTTAATTCTAGATCTGTTTTTAAGATCACACAATTTCATTCTTATCTTAAAATTGTGGCTGTGTTGAATAATATAGTGTAATAATATCAAAGTTTAACTCTATATGTGTTCAGTATGGATATTTATGAAATGGTCTGTCTTTCATCTAAATTCTTTTCTTAGAATGTATTTATTTTATATAGGATCTTGCTATGCAGTTCAGAATCATAGTGATCCTCCTGTCTCAGCCTACCCAGTGCTGGGATTACAGGCATGTGCCACCATACCTGGTTATAGGGTTGGCACAGCATGCAGTACCAGGAATCGAACTAGGTCCTTGCTCTAGCTTGGCAGGCACTTAAACCCCCTAGGTAGATCCCCAGCTCCCTTTCATCTAAACTCTTCTGGAAAAACTTCTACAAAAGTATGTCAGTTCAAAAGATCATTATTAAAGATCTTTGTATAATTAAAATTATTCTAGTTATAATCGATAGATGCAGATAATTGAGAGAAATATGTAAGTATACACACATACTTTCTCATTAATAATAGAAGTTATTAATTAAACTCTTTGCATCATAATTTCCTAACAACATAAATCACTGAGAAAAAAGAACTATTCGATCATTTTTGCTGTCTGTATAAAGTCCCCATGAGAGATCACAGAGAAAATTTTATGACAAGGGACAGTTTCAGTGTCCCTTACATAGTGTCATACTTAGTTACTTATTAATTTAGTTCTGTATGCCTTATTTCTGGCTTTCAACCCCCAAAATATGATCTTTTAATACAAATAAAACATAATGTTGAATATAATAAGAGTTTCAGAAAAATAATCATTTTCTCCCAGTGTCATAAAATTTTAGGGGAATATACTTGATATTTGAAAGATGGTATTATTTTAAATCATCCCCATAGAGAACATTTACACTGAGGAGTAAGATAAGACAATTTCTCCTAGAATAACATGAAAACAGCTAGAGAATGTCCTTGTACAGAACACAGAAAGGTCTGAAGGATTTTATCGCATATAACTGGAAATCACAGTTCAAACGAATTAGTTTGAAACTCAGTGGCTTATAAGACTCTAATATATCATCTGAATTAGCAGGTGACAATTGCTTAAAAAATAAATTTTTCAATATTAGTTTACATCTGGCTCAGATATATTTTTAATTGTTATGGAAGAAGGTGCTTTGGCATTTTCACAAGAGAGAGTAGAAGAAAATACTTCAGCTAGCAGAGAGTTTTCATGCATGTTTTGTTTTTCTTTGATGAAGACAAAAGTGATATATTGGGAAATTCCAGCAATAACAATGAAACTTTAAAACTGCCAGAGACTCAAAAACTATTAATCATTTTCATATCTCTTTGATAGAGGCTCAAAGAACTGAAACAAAGGGAATTTGCTCGAAATGTAGCATCTAAATCCAGGAAGGGTGAGAGGAAGCAGGAAAGGGCCCTCCAACGCCTGCACAAGCTGGCCGAGCTGAGAAAGGAGACTGCGTGGTGAGTCTACAAGAAATGTTAAATTTTCCTAAAATAGGACAGGAAAGGGTGGGGGAAGTTGAAAAGAAAGGGCACAGATCTATTTATTTCTGTACCCACAGTTAAGCACACATGTTTGCATGGCCTTCTGCAGGCTGTAAATAGTAATTTGAATTTGAATTTATGCAAACACCTGTTTAATGCACATTTCAATAAAAAGCTCAAATTACTATAATTTTAGTTCATAAAAAAATTTATCGCTATCCATATCCTTAAGCTATCTTAATTGACAGGTATCCTATTTCTTGGTGAAATTCAAAATTGAAGAAGAGAGCAAGGCAAGGTCTTTTCTTCTATCCTGTGATGCACAGGGAGTTTTAAGTGGAATTTACTTTAAATGAAAATTGTATCTGAAATTATCTTTCTAAGTTAAAACAGAGGGCAGGAGAATATTATGTACTTCTGGAGAAATTCAAAATGAGTTTCACTGTGAATAAGACTAGACTGTTAGACATTCACAGGTTGTGTGTGTGTGTGTGTGTG